ACTGCAAATGTGCAGAATTAAAATGAATCTTCTCCTAGAACGTGGAATAATACGCCGCCATATGTTTTCTCTTTTGTGCATGTGGTGAGTAGAGGCCCTTAGGGCCACTGCACATATTCCTAAGAAAAGAAAAACGAGAAAACAAAAGAAAAACGAGAAACAAAAGAAAAAGGAGAAAACAGAGAATTAGTGACCCATAACTGTGATGCACAGACCTGAATTTGAATCCAGACTATATATTCTCCGCCCACGCAGACAGACTAGAAGTCTAATGTCCATCTCTGCTACACAACGGGTCCTTGCTAATTCGTAGGGGCCCTTCGGAAATGAGGCTGGACACAATTAGGACATGCACACCCACACGCACACACATGTGCTCACAGTGTTGGGGTATGGGGTGGCCCCAACTTTTTTCCCTCTTGCAGTTTGATTTTCCGAAGCAAGGAGCATGTTTGGCCACCCCGCCCTGTGATTTCAATTTTTTTTTTTTTTTTGACGTGTCGCATCACATGTGTGTGCGTGTGCGCTCTGCGCCGCATGTGCCGCGACCTCACACACGGGATGCGTTGCAAGTATGATTGAAAAACTATACAACATCGGTGCAAGTGTGCCGTTTTCACGGCAGACGGGGTGTCTGGACACTTCCCCTGCATTCCTGCTCAACCACAAAAATGTGGGGAACCTTGCATCTTCTTTTATATTGCCCACCTATGCCTTTGTTTTGTTTTATGAATGGTCTGTGATGGTTTGTGAATGGAACGAGGTAGAGAGTTTGGGTTCTTTTAACAACACCACAATCCCCAAAAGGGAAAAAAAAAATCGAAAGCAAGAACAACAACACAAAACGAAAAGACCGAAGGAAATCCCTCGGAGCGCCTCACCAAACGTGATGAAAGCGGAACTCGCCTTGACACATCAACTCCACAACCACAACAGAGGAAAAATTCGTCGGTGTCCTAGCAGACGGTTAATTCTCATTTTGCGCATTTGCTGCACGGTGCACTCAGGCCGCTGCCACAATCTCCAAAAGGGAAAAAAAAAAACAAAGCAAGAACAACAAAACGAAAAGACCGTTGAGATACAGGGCCTCACAACACCACTCGCCAAAAGTAAAATGCGAGTGAATCTTCCATTGGAACACCAAAAGATACACCGCCGTAATCTTTCTCTTTTTCACATCTGGTCCGTGGTGCGCCAAAGCCCATCATTAGTTGGGCTTTCTTCTCTTTTTTGGCGGTTTGGATGGCCACGTTGAGCACACAGTTGTTCACATTCTCAGTTGTGTTTTCTGGCACGTCGTTCATTGACCACAGTAGAGTACACAATCTGGCCTGTAGTTTCCAATGGCCATCGCTTTATCGGTCGTGTTTTCTGGAATGCCGTTGATTGATGCCTGAAAATGTGCTGCTTATCGGACGGCCCCATCTCACAGACGGGCACAATCCGGTCACAACCAGAACTTAATTAGAATGTAGTAGATTACACAGAAACAGCTGTTCACATTGGCATTAGGAAAACACCATGCATTGGTCCCACACAAATAGGATTGTTTCCTACACCAACCAGATGACCGTTTCCCTTTCATCAACCACCATGATCCATAAACACGAGGAAGGTGCCACCCGAGGTTTTCGTTCGGTACAGCCCACAACACCAACCTCCCTTGGACCACCTGTTACTGGCCGATTACTAATGCCGCAGCCGAAAAACGGCATGCTTAAGGGATCATCCTCAGTGAATACTGCACTGTCATACTCCCACAGCGCACAGCCATGGAACTGAAGATAATGGATATACCATTCTCTCGGCTGATAGAGAAATGAAAGACGGATGGGGCTGTGGCCAATCAATCCAGTGGAACGTCCACCACCATTTTGAATTTCACTCCCGTGAGAATCTACACACAGAAAACAAAGAAGCAACATCACAGACGCAAAGAAACAAATGTCGTCATCATTTGTTCTGTGGGACTTGATCACAATCATAACCTGTAAGCATGCAGGTGGGATTCGCAGACGCAGTGTCAAACAAACTGGAATGAGACTAACACTCTACGTAGCACACCAATAACCAAGTACACCATGAGGCCAGGGCGAGTGCAAAGGACTGGGAAGTCGAGATGATTCATCAGAGGTATGCACTGGAGAGGGTGGGAAGCCCAGTACAACATATCCATGGATGCACACACTGGTACAACTGCATCATCACACGACTCTGAACGTATCGAGGCAGCACATGTGGTTAAGAATCTAAGATGCTAAATGACATTCCGCCTGATTCAGGTATGTTTTGAGCAAAAGCCAGGCATCAATCTCTGAAACTTTCAGTGGTACTATCTGTGGGATCAGTCCTCAGCCTCACAAGCAG